CTCAGACTGCCAGCCTTTCTTTTTTCCCAGAGCAGATGGATATGGATCCCTGTTTTCCACAAGCAGCTGGACTCAGTCTCTCCAGGTATTCTGTCTGTCTTAGCTTTCCAACACCCCTCATCACCAGAGCACCATGCAATGTAGGTTTGTGCTCTCAGAGCAGATTTCCAGGGCTAGGTGTTCAGCAGTCCCAGGCCTCCACTCCCTCCCTGCTCTGTTTTTCTTTCTCCCACCAGTGAGCTGGGGTGGGGAAATGGCTTGTGTCCCGCTGGGTCACTACTTTGGTACATTACCCTGTTCCGTGAAGTCTGTTCTTTTCTCCAGGTTTATGCAGTCTGGCACAGCCTTCTTTCCTGTTGCTCTTTCAGGATTAGTTGTATTAATTATATTTTAGTATTATATGTGGTTTTCAGAGGAGGCCTCTGTCTCACTTCTCATGCTGCTATCTTTAATCCTCCCTCTACTTCTTTCTATCACTCTTATTTTCTCTCCTTATTCAATAGACATTTGTTTGAGTGAACAGTTGAGTTGACTGAATAGTTGAAAGACAAACTGTTCAGGAATGCTGAAATATAACACTGTTTATTTAGGTGATAAGCTGTTCTCATGCAATCATGTAAATAAGGAAATATGAAGACTGGTGTGGTTGAATCTGGAGGAGTTGAGAGACATCAACTTGAAAAGATTTATCTGGGAGGACAGATCTGGTTATAGAACTAGATTAGGAAGCCTACTAATATTTGGGTAATAGAAAGTGAAAATGAAAACATAATAAAAAGTTACAATGCTCTGTGAAGTGGTGGCTAAACCTTAATTGGTTCATTCAGAATGGTAAGTGGGGTGGTAAAGCTGGATAGGGGCATTGCTGGCAGAAGCTTCACTTGGGTGACCCACACTGGCTTAGTGGGGGATTAGGTTTTGGAGCCTTTGATGGTTAAGGAAGTACTGGAAGGCTTCGTGCAGCAGGCAATAAGAAGCTGCTGTTGGTTTGTGAGCAGAGCTGAGGCCCTGCATGATAGAAGTGGGTCCATAACACGTTGTCTTTCTTCCATCTGTTATATCTGTTGCTGACTCTTATGCCCTCACAATGTGCCCACAGACATGGTTCAGCCCTGCAAGTGGTGCTTCAGAGTCAGTGAGGAGAGTGTGCTTTTGTTTAAAAGGCACATAGGTTCGTGTTCTCCTATTTTGCAGTTGTTTGCCCCTAATTGATGAGTAAGAAACTGGATCTCATTTGTTTAAATTTTGTATTTTTCCACACATAGGCTATTTCACATGTTGTGCACAGCATTGGTTCATTTTATTGCTGTTGACCTCTAAAATAGTTTGTTTAAAACAAAAAGCAAATTAGAAGTGGTCACACAATATTGCAGATATGCTAAATGCTACTGAATTGTTCATTTAAATGGTTAATTTTATGTTATGTAAATTTCACCTCAATAAAAAGTATGTACATGTGCACACTCATGCAAACATGTCTTTGTGTATGGATTGAGTGTAAACTCTCAGGCAGGGAGAGCTGCTGAGCCATGCTTGGGTGGTGAGCATCAGCATACTACAGGATGCTTTCTTTCTACCAGTTATTTTGTGTTGCTAATTTGGGCCTATTAGGGATTAAAAATGGTTTTTGAGTGATAGTGTTTGACCCACTTTGAAGGGAGGTTATCCTACTAGGTGTTAACATGCAAGGTTTATGACTGTCTGAGGAACTATCAGATAGGTAGTACAAGAAACAGGGGGTAGAGATCAACCCAGATAGGAAATGGTGGAAATTGCTTGACATTATGAGAGGCATCATAAATATCCCTGTATCCTGGGGAAAGTGGCCAGCAGTGATGTGAATGGTAGGTAAAACTCTATGGAAAAAGTCTGACCATAAGTGAAAGAAAAAGGTTGCTGGCCAGAGCACGCGGATGGGAGTGTGTATGCTCAGATCTTACTGGGGCCCAGGCCCACTTAGCGCTGCCCTCTCAGGGCATATCTCTGTCCCAAACAGGGTGGCAGTATTTCTTTTTGGTAAAGTAGTCTGCTTCTGTCCCTTACACATTTCTCTGTTGGAACTAAATGATTTTCATGTGATTTGTATGAAATTTTTATTAACACTACTAACCCTTTGCTATCCTTACTTACTGCATTTTATTCCCAGCTTGTTTGCTTTTAGAAATGGTGAACTTCAAACTTTATAATTTATTAATTTTTGTGTTGTCATTTTTGTTGATTATTTCTTTTGGTCTTATATCACTAATCTTGTCTTTCCCTGTCAATTTATATATTGATAAATACTTAATATTATTTCTTCAATTTAAAAAAATCTTTTTTGAGCCTGCAGTCTAAGGTAAAAATCTGAATTGTTTCCAGATTGCTGGTTTCTTTAGATATTCTTACAGGTGAACTTAGAGTAATTAAATTCCAAATCCAGTTTTGGTTTCGATTTGAATTATGGTAAGCTAAAAGTTAATTTGGGAAGAACCGATACTTTTATGATATTCAGTCACCATCCAAAGGCCTATTTTACATTTCTTTCTGATATTCAATTTTTTCTTTTCACATAGGCTACACATACTTTTTATTAGTGGTTTTTATGAATATTTTGATTTCTTATCTCTACTCGGAGAGCCTTTTCCATGTATTTTGTTATTAATTAGTATACCTAGAAGTAATTACTGATTTTTGTATATTTATCTGGTAACTGGTCAGTTCCTCAAACTTGTTAAATGTAATAGTTCTCAGCTGATTTTCTTGGGTCTTCAGTATATAATTACATGCCTGCAGAAAAAATTTTCTCCAATAATTATGCCCTGTAGCTCCAGGGAAAACTTTTTCCTGGCCTGGGGTGAATAAACTAGTAGAACCGAAATGAGTCAAGGAGGCGGCTTGATTGGGAGAAACCCTTTTTATTGCTCACACGGAGGCCTGGCTCCCTCTGTTCTGGTAGGGGCACACTCTCTCCTTTCTCCTCGGTCTCCTCTAGCAGAGCCCACCTGGTGGTCCCCGTCTCTGCAGACACAGTGCACCCACTTTCTCACCCGCCCCTTCCCGGAGGACCTCCATGGCGCTTCCTGGTAACTGACAGGCACCAGACCAGTTGTACCAGAAGGGAGGCAGAAGAGAGCAGCCATCCTCTCTCCTCCCCTTCCCCCGGAGTCTGTGGACAGAAACACCAATTGATACATAAATGGACTAAGGCCAAGCGGAGGATTCTGGGAATACTATAATTTACCCGACATGCTCCATCTGTCATTTAGTTTTGCTTTTTTGCTGGACTGAGAAAAATACTAAATCACAGCTCTTATTCCTAGACATAAGAAATTAATACTGAATTTTATTATTATGTTTTTGCTTAGATGATCATTGACTTCTTCTATAGCATGTTGTTTTGATTTTGTCTTTGGTTAGCCTGGCCCTAAAGAAGATTAATAACCACCTTAAGATTTACTCAGCTATTGCCATTAGCAACAGGTCAGAGCTGCCTTCTTTTCCCTAAGGTAAGGAAGTGTAATTTTTGCTTCTGTGTAATTTTAACCTTTAAAGGAAATGTAAGAAAATGTATCTGACTCTTTAAATTTTGGAGGACTCTAATTTTTAAGTTATTTTTACTTCATTCAGAATACCCAGATGTGAAGTTGAAATAGCCTTTTTTGTATATTCATAATGTCATATGGCAATATAATGAGCTATAAGAAATATATATATTTGGTCATTCAGATGACCAAAAATACATTTCTCAGATACATTTGGCCTTCATCCACAGTCCCTGAAAACATTTTAGAGCCAAAAGGCTGTCTTTTTATGTAAATGGAGAGTCCTTTTGGACCTCACCCAAGGGTTGGGGCTGGTCTCTCAGCAGACCAGCCTTGTGAATAAAGGGTGGGAACTCTTAGCCCACAGTGCCTGGGAGGGGAGAGAGAAGGGCCTGGAGGTTGAATCAGCCAGTGGCCAGTGATTTAATTAATCATGACTATGCAGTGAAACCCTCACAAAAACTCATGAGAAGAGCATTTTGCTCTCCATCTTTTTTGCATGCTGCTTTCTTGTTGGAGAGAGTGACCATGCTTAGGGAACCAAAACGCCTCCACATGCCACTGAGCCAGGCCCAGGATAGAAACTCCTTTACTGGGACCTTGCCCAGTGTATGTGTTCACTTGGCTATTAGTTCATTCCCTTTACAGTATCCTTCTTTAAACTGGTAAATCTAAGTGTTCTCCTGAGTTCTGCGAGCAACTCTAGCAAATTAATTGAACCTAAGGGGGAGGTCGTTGGAACTCCAATCTGTAGCCAGTTGGTCAGCAGCGCAGTAACCTCCTGGGACCTGTGACTGGCCTCTGGAGTGGAGGATGGAGCAGAGCCCTTAACCCAGAGAATTTGGTGTGGTCTCTGGGCAGACAGTATCAGAATTGCATTGAATTCTCAAGACACCCAGCTGGTGTTTGAGAATTGCGTGGTGCCCTGGATGGAAACTGTACCACCACCATCACCCCCAACACACACACACATTGGAATTGGGTTAAAAAAAACAGAAGGAATTGGTATGAAATGCACATATTAAAGTTTTTTATCCCTTCTGGAAGGAAATCAAAACCTCAGTTTTTAAGATGAAACCAAAACAAGATAGTTCATTGAATTTCCTGTTCTGCATTAAAGGCCACATTATTTTCTGACAATAAAGAATCATAAACTTAGTATAATGGTATTCATTTTCTCCCCTTTTGCAATGGGGGAGAGGAGGAGGATTGAATTTCTTATAGTATCTTTTTCTCTCATGTAGTAATAATAATAGCTGATATTTCTAAAGCATTTAATATATGTCAGACACTATTCTGTGGGTTTTATGTGTATTAACTCATTTTCCACAATAACCTGTGAGGCACTGTTATTACCTTTTACAGATGAGGAAAAATTGAACACAGTTGACTGAATTGCCCAAGGTTCATTGCTTATTGGAGGCTGTGATTTGATTCCACACAGAGTATACCGAGTCCTTTTGTTTTTGAAAATACTGTTTTATTAACACTACAGTGGTAAACAACTTTATGCTATGTTTCTTTATAGATCAGTGGGTCACATACAATTCAAAACCCACAAAGAAGCTAAGCGTCTTTACATTAAATGTGTCCTTCCTAAAAATCCCTAACTGTATGCCAGTCTATCCTGAAGCAGTAAAATTTGATTATGCAACATTTTATATTTAATGTCACATTTATGTAGCAAAATAATGAAGGCACAACTAAGCAAACATAAATCCCTTCTACTTCTGATCTGGGGATGTGGGAGACACACTTGGACTGGTTCTTCAAATATATATTTTTTCCAAACATTAGCTTCAGTGAAGAGTTCTGATAATTGTCACAGCTACATTCTAAAAGCTACATGACAGGACTTCACAAAGATCAAACTACGTAACACTGGATACACATGCTTTACAGAATTTGCTGTATTCTATATCTCTTCAAGTAAATTAATATTTCTAAAATGCTAGATAAAGGGACTTAATACTTAAACATTTGGGGTTTAAAAAAATTTTTTTACACCTTTGTAAATAGACACTACCAAGAAAACACATAAACATGAGACTGTAAATAATGAACACATATGTTACAATATTATACAGGTTATACACTTTCCTTCTTGGAACTGTATTGTTTCTGTACATATAAATATTCAGAAGGTTCTTTAGAATTTGAAGTGGCACTTTTCCAGGCCTCATTAACAGTACTCTTATGATCTCCATCACAGGATTCCTCCATTCCCTCACTCTTCTCTGAAGTGTAAAACCGACGTCTGGGTTACGAAAGCAAAGTTTCAAAGATGAGATTTTCCTTGGGTTCTTTTTCTGCACTGGAGAATTTCAGAACTAAAGAAGCTGAAGTGTTAAGCGTTGAGAACGTGTTCAGTCTCGGCTTAGCTGTTCCGTGCGTAGTGTGATGATAGTGTTATGAATGGGTTTCAGGGACATTTCTTACTTCGCATCTACTTGACACCCTTAATAAGCCTCAGTTCCAGTCCTCACAGAAGAGATCATGAAAAAGTCATTTTAAACTTAACTCAGTTTTTTCAACACCTTATGTACAAAATGGAAACCAAATTTGAAACGGGCTAGCCAGTATCTGACTGCTTCAATTTAACATCTTTTTAGAAATGTCAGAATTGATTTGTCTTGTATTTTGGTCCAAAACCTGAGCCCTTTTAAGTCCACTGATATTCAGGGGAAAGAAGTGTTTTTTTCGTCGTCATTCTTTTTAATCGCTGCCCTCCCCACCTTCCAGCTTATTTCTTGGCGTCATCAGGCACCGCAGAGTGGGGACCCTCAGCAGCCACCTGCCGCACGGCCTCTGCGGCGGTCTCGTCCCCCTCATCCTCCTCGTCCTCCTCCCCCTCCTCGTCCCCCTCGTCCCCCTCGTCCTCCTCATCGTCCTCCTCCCCCTCCTCCCCCTCTAAGGTCCATGCACATCCCTCCATCTCACCAGTAAGTGCTTGGATTTTGGCAAGTAAGGGCTTATAGATGTCATTATACTTTTTCTCCAGAGCCTGGAATTCCTTATCAAATTTGGCTTCTATCTTATCACACCGCTTCTGCAGCTTTTTGAGGGCCAGCACTCGGCACTTCACTGAGTTGGGAAGGCTCTCGATAAAGTCATTTTTAGGCCTTGATGCATTCTCTGTCGGCGTCTGGGGCTCCTCGGCCGTGCGGCCGGCCGCGCTGTCGGAGCCGCCCCGCTGCACACCGCCTTCCGCTATTACCTCCTCCGTCTCGGCCGCAGCCGCTGCCGCCTGGCTCGGCTCTGCAGGCCCCTGGTTCTCCGAGTCGGCCATATTCTGGGAGAAGCTGCGGAGGTCGGGTGGCTCCAGCAGAGACCCACACCTGAGCTGCACCGGCGCGGTCCTGGGGATGCGGCAAGTGGCCGTGACGTTGGCCGCGGCCCCGCCCTCTCGGCTTGGGACCGGGACTGGCTGTCCCCCGTCAGCTGACGGTCGGGCCCTCGTACTGCGCAGAGCCTCGGTTGCTACCCTGTCGTCTCCCTGGCATTGCAACCAACGTCAGAACCCATTTCTTAGATACCCTGCCCGCTTCCGTCCGCAGACGTGCGCCTGTAAAGCGGAGCTGGGAATGGCTATGTGTGCCAGAGGCACACACTTGTTCGGAAACTGCTTGGATGGCTGCGGCCTTTTTCAGTTTGCTCCTATGCGCCCCCACCCCGACTCCTGACCCCCTTTTATATGATTGCTCACTGTGTCTGGTAGCTCCCCATTTGTCTACCTCGTGCCACAGCTGGCTTTGCTCTGCCTTGGTGGAGTGTCTCTTTTGGAGTTGCCTTTGATCACCTACTAGGTTCCTCCGAATTCCTTTCCAGAAACAACTGAAGGCACGGGAGAGCTGACTCCATTGCACCCACCTGGGTACCTGGTGCATGTGTGTGGACAGGGCAGCTTGCACGTCCGTCTGCCCACCCAGCAGTCCGCTTTGGCCGCTTCTCAGCCCAGCGGCATATATACTGATGGCAAGGTCTTTTCTCAGTGAGGTAGATCCTAGAAGCAGTTTGGGAGCCGTGTGGATAGGGAATCTCAGGACCCCGGGTATCCTGGAATGTGTTCTAAATGGTTTCTGAGAATCCGTGGCCTTTGGAGAGAAATAAAGCTGGAGGAGAGCCAAATAAAAGCAATGCCCTCTAACACCTGATGTGTCCAGGGCAAGGGACCCCCGTTTCTGTCCCAGTTGAAGTGTGTGTTTATTTAGTATGCTGTTCATGGGGGTAGGGGGAGACATATGTACACATTGTCCCCCACATACTTGACACAGTTCAGCCTCTGGGCTGTGATTCTTGATGGTGATTTGTATCTGAGAACATTAAAAAAAAAAAAGTCTTAAATACCAAACTTTTTTTCTCTTGACAGCAGAGTGAGTAGACATTAGTTTCTTGTTTATTAAACCAAACTGAAAGCACTTGAATAAGGCTGAGGGTGCATATTTTAGGTATGGAAGGCAAATGATCCAGGGATTCCTCAGGAATGACTTCAGATTCAGCATTACTACTTTAAGTAATTTTCTTTCACTATATTGGGCCTTGCTAAAGCTTTACCATGAAGCATATGAATGTGTTAGGAATTGGTGCCATCTTTTGGTTCTTGTGAATATTAAATTAGTTAATAATATGTAAGGCACTTAGTGCTGACACATAGCAAGCAGTCCATGCTTTTTTAAAATAAAATAATGGTATTCACTAATACTGCAAAGACAAACTGCAGTAATATTCTTTCTTAGAAAAGGACATCTTTGTGCTCTTCCCCAAAGTAACTAATATACTCCTATTAGCTAACAACCTAGTTTTTAAAAATGTATTTGTGATTCCTATTGTCTATTTTACTTTCTAAATTCTCCAGATAATTTAACTTTTCCCCATCACTGTTACCATTTGTAATGACTGAGTTTTACTGTTAAGGCTGAAATTTCAACCTTAGTCCTGACTGAATCTGACTACATTTAGTTGTTGAAACTATACATATTCTATATACCATACAGTCCATCCATGTACCATCTCTTGATGGCTACAGCTACCTTAAGGTTACAAATGCTTATTCTCTCTTTAAAGATAAGGAACTTAGAAACAGAAAAATTAAATGAAATAAATAGTATATTACCATATGTATTGCTTGATTGGCACAATTAAAGGCAGAAAACAGGCCTTCTAACTCCTGTAGTATAGAAGTTGTGACAGACTTAAAAAAAAAAGCCCAAATTTTAATAAAATCCATTTGTCTAACTTAATTTGTTTGAGACAAACAGATGTCATCATCTTTCAGAATTTTTATATTCTTGTCTTAAAACAGTGTTCAATTTCTAATAAATAACATGTTCCTTATTTCCGTCTGAGAGTTAACTAGAAGCACTTTAATGCTCATATTTCTAGCAATATTCTGTTTGATGTATATTTATTTATTCGTTTGTTTATTTCTAAGATAATAATCGCTGTCTGTCCAGCTCTTCTCTTTCCTTTGAGCCGTCATCAGAACCTCCTCTAATGTCCAGACTGGTCAACAGTCTTTGCAAGGCAATCCAGGCTTCTATTCAGTGCCTCAAAACTTTCTCAGCCTCTACCCATTATCTAATTCCAAAATCATTTTTATATTTTTAGATATTTGCTATTGTAGTACACTGCTTCCTGGTATCAAATCTGTATTAGTCAGGGTTCTCCAGAGAAACAGAACCAAGAGGAGATGTGTGTTTGTGTGTGTGTGTGTGTGTGCGTGTGCGTATGAATCAGAGGAGGAGAGAGTGATTTTATGGAATCTTCTTGAGTGTGGGGGTGACAAGTCAGAAACCTTCAGGGCAGGACAGTAGACTGAAAATTCTGGCAGGAGTGATGATATAGTCTGGAGGCCTTCCTTTTTGGAGGATCTCAGTCTTTTAAGACCTTCATCTGCTTGGATGAGGTCCACCTGCATTATGAAGACTAATCTGCTTTACTCAAAGTTTACTGATTTAAATGTTAGTCACATCTAAAAATACCTTCACAGCAACATATTGACTGGTGTTTGACCCAACAGTTGTGTGCCACAGCCAAGGCAAGTTGATTCATAAAATAAACCATTGAAGCCATAATAAAACATCATGCTGAAGGTGCTTCTCTTCAGCAGCTCTACCAGAAAGATGTTATGATTCTTGTCTGATGGGTTTCGGGAGAGCAGTGCACCGTGTGCCCTGTAAGAAGATGTAAGGCATCTATGGTTGAGGTGTACAGTAATCTTACTACATTAGTGGCTTTTATTTTTTTATTTTTTATTTTGCTCTCATTAATGTACAATTACATGAACAACATTGTGGTTACTAGACTCCCCCTATTATCAAGTCCCCACAACATACCCCTTTACAGTCACTGTCCATCAGTGTAGTAGATGGTATAGAATCACTTCTTGTCTTCTCTGTGTTATACTGCCTTCCCTGTTACTCCCTGCCCCACATTATACATGCTAATCATAATGCCCCTTTTTCCCCCTTATCCCTCCCTTCCCACCGATCCTCCCCAGTCCCTTCCCTTTGGTAACTGTTAGTCCATTCTTGGGTTCTGTGAGTCTGCTGCTGTTTTGATCCTTCACTTTTTGCTTTGTTCTTATACTCCACAAATGAGTGAAATCATTTGATATTTGTCCTTCTCAGCCTGGCTTATTTCACTGAGCATAATACCCTCTAGCTTCATCCATGTTGTTGCAAATGATAGGATTTGTTTTCTTCTTATGGATGAATAATATTCCACAGTGTATATGTACCACATCTTCTTTATCCATTCATCTACTGACGGACATTTAGGTTGCTTCCATTTCTTGGCTATTGTAAATAGTGCTGTGATAAACATAGGGGTGCATATGTCTTTTTCAAACTGGGCTGCTGCATTTTTAGGGTAAATTCCTAGGAGTGGAATTCCTGGGTCAAATGGTATTTCTATTTTTAGTTTTTTGAGAAACCTTCATCCTGCTTTCCACAATGGTTGAACTAGTTTACATTCCCACCAGCAGTGTAGGGGGGTTCCCCTTTCTCCATATCCTCAATAACATTTGTTGTTGTTTGTCTTTTGGATGGTGGCCATCCTAACTGGTGTGAGGTAGTATCTCATTGTGGTTTCAATTTGCATTTCTCTGATGATTACGGATGTGGAGCATCTTTTCATGTGCCTATTCGCCATCTGAGTTTCTTCTTTGGAGAAATATCTGTTCAGCTCCTCTGCCCATTTTTTAATTGGCTTATTTGCTTTTTTTTGTTGAGGTGTGTGAGCTCTTTATGTAATTTGGATGTCAGCGCCTTATCAGATATGTCACTTATAAATATATTCTCCCATACTGTAGGATGTCTTTTTGTTCTAGTGATGGTGTCCTTTGCTGTACAGAAGCTTTTTAGTTTGATATAGTCCCACTTGTTCATTTTTGCTTTTGTTTCCCTTGCCCAGGGAGATATGTTCATGAAGAAGTTGCTCATGTTTATATTCAAGAGATTTTTGCCTGTATTTTTTTTCTAAGAGTTTTATGGTTTTATGACTTACATTCAAGTCTTTGATCCATTTTGAGTTTACTTTTGTGTATGGGGTTAGACAGTAATCCAGTATCCTTCTCTTACATGTAGCTGCCCAGTTTTGCCAACACCAGTTGTTGAAGAGGCTGTCATTCCCCCATGGTATATCCGTGGCTCTTTTTTATATATTAATTGGCCATATACGCTTGGTCTTATATCTGGGCTCTCTAGTTTGTTCCATTGGTCTATGGGTCTGTTCTTGTGCCAGTACCAAATTGTCTTGATTACTGTGGCTTTGTAGTAGAGCTTGAAGTCAGGGAGCATAATTCACCCTGCTTTATTCTTCCTTCTCAGGATTGCTTTGGCTATCCAGGGTCTTTTGTGGTTCCATATGAATTTTAAAACTATTTGCTCTAGTTCATTGAAGAATGCTGTTGGTATTTTGGTAGGGATTGCACTAAATCTGTATATTGCTTTAGGCAGGATGGCGATTTTGACGATATTAATTCTTCTACCCATGAGCACAGGATGTGTTTCCATTTATTGGTATCTTCTTTAATTTCTCTCATGAGTATCTTGTAGTTTTCAGAGTATAGGTCTTTCACTTCCTTAGTTAGGTTTATTCCTAAGTATTTATTCTTTTTGATGCAATTGTGAATGGAATTGTTTTCCTGATTTCTCTTTCTGCTAGTTCATTGTAAGTGTATAGGAATGCAACAGATCTCTGTGTATTAATTTTGTATCCTGCAACTTTGCCGAATTCAGATATTAGGTCTAGTAGTTTTGGAGTGGATTCTTTAGGGTTTTTTATATACAATATCATGTCATCTGCAAACAGGGACAGTTTAACTTCTTCCTTACCAATCTGGATGCCTTTTTTTTCTTTGTGTTGTCTGATTGCCATTG